TATGATGAATTTTTGAGGATATTCAGGTTCGCTTCTCCATTCATTTGGGCGCACTACATTAGTAGTTGACTCGATCGGATGATCTGGTACACTATTGCTGATTTCATTAGTTGACTCTATCGTAGCAGATTTATCAGCTGACTCTTGAGATTTGCTTGTCTCCTGCGTTTCTTGACTTGATCTTCATCACCTACAGTAATTTCTTTCTCGACCAAGGGGTTATTTTCGTCGAATATAACATGTACAGATTCATCCACACATAATGTGAGTTTATTATAGACTCTAAAAGATCTATTATTTAATGAGTAGCCCAGAAAAATACCTTCATCACTTCTTGGATTGAATTTTCTAAGGTTCTCCTTACCGTTATTGTGAATAAAACACTTACTTCCGAAGGGATGAAAGTAACTGATATTGGGACGTTTACCTTTCCATAGTTCATAAGGAGTCTTCTTTAGAATGGGCCTTATGATACATCGCTTGAGAATGCGACATGTTGTACTTACACCTTCTGCCCAAAAGTGATTTGCAGTGAATGATCTAGTAACATGGTTCTTGCCATGTCTTGGAGGGTTCTGTTTTTCCACTCAACAACCCCATTTTGTTGTGGTGATCCTGGTCAGAGAAATTATGAGTGTATCCCTGATCATTACAGAAGTCTTCAAATGCTCTACTTTCAAATTCTCCTACATGATCACTCTGAATTGTTGAAATCAGATATCCCTTTTCTCTTTTAACCTTTTTGCAGAAAATCTCGAAATTTCTTAATGCTTCATCTTTATAAGATAAGAAAATTACCCAAGTGAAACGTGAATAATCATCAACAATAACAAAAGCATATCATTTTCCTCCTATACTAGCAGTTCTAGTAGTCCCAAATAAGTCCATATGAAGCAATTACAAAGGTTTAGAAGTAGATACAATATCTTTATTTTTGAAAGAGTTTCTAGTTTGCTTACCTATTTGACATGCATTACAGATATGAGTTCTAGAAAAATTCAGTTTGGGTAGACCAATAACTAACTCATGTTTGGACAATTTTTCTATCAAATGCATGCTTGCATGACCAAGTTTCCTATGCCATAACCATGGATTATCAGACATAGATGTTAAGCAAATATGACCATCTATCTTTTCAAAACCATCAAGGATATAAACATTTCTATACCTTTTTCCTGGGATGACTGTTTTACCTGTCTCGTCTTCAATAGCACCGCCTGTTTTCTTAAAATTTACCTCATATCCTGAGTCGCATAATTGACTTATGCTTAGGAGATTGTAGTTGAGTCTATCGACGAGATAAACTATGTCACAATTGTTATAGAAGGGAATTGTTCCAGTACCAATTATCTTTCCCTTTGAGTCATCCCCAAACTTAACACTTCCTCCATCAATTTTTGTAACTTCTTTGAACATGTTTTTATCACCTATCATGTGACTGGAACACGCACTGTCTAAGTACCATTTTCCTTTGCGGCTTATTCTGTGGTGTTCCTACAAAACATAGTGATTACTTTCTTTTAGGTACCCAAGCTTGCTTGGGTCCTGGAGGGTTAGTATTGCTAGATTCAGAATTATTTTTTGGTTTCCAAACCCATCCTGAAACATTTGCTTTACGAAAGCGACAAAAAAATATTTATGTCCACTTTTGTTATAGTAGTGACACGTAACTCCTGACCCACCTTTAGGTCTTTCATTAGTGTTAGTACTAGTGGACTCTGTTCTGGCTGGTCCTTTTCCAGTTGACTTGTAAGTCGCCTGGTTTGACCTGACAGAACTGTGACTGGTGGATTTGCGCATGCCATTGAGTTGCATTTGCAATTCCTCAAACTCTTCTTGAAGTACTTCTTTTTCAATTTCACATACTTCATGTTTGAGTTTCCAGTCTTTGACTTCTTTATTTAGTCTTTTAAGTTCATTCATCATTTTTTTGAGACTCTTTCAAAGTTAAATCAAAATATCCTGCAATTCATTGCATCTTTCACAGTTATAGGATCTTACCTCACTTGTTTCACCTCGTGCCATGAAACTGTTCTCATTGTCATCTTTGCATTCATCATCTGAGGTGTCCTCATCTGTCCAGCATCATGAGGATTTGTTCATCTCGTTTTCCAGAATCATTATGAAGCAAAGATTTGCTATCTCTTCGTGTTTTGAATTGTCTTCATCGCTCCAACTTCCAAAAGATTTGTTCTTTTTAAAGCCCCTGGAAATTTTTCTTTTTAGATCTGGGCACTCAGCTTGAATGTGTCCAAATCTTCCATATTCATAGCATTTTCCATCATTCTTATCTTGTTCGTTGTATTGCCTGGGTCGCCTCGGTGGAATTCTTCCTTTCTTCGTATTTTTGAATCTTCTCATTAAGCCATCCATGTTTCTTGATAGCATAACAATCTTTTCATGTAGAGCTTCAGTATCATCATCGATTTCATTTTCAGATATTTTAGTTGAGGCCTTGAATGCGACTGTTTTCCTTTTTTCTTCTTGACTAGTCTTCTTGAGATGTATCTTTTCAAAGGCTATGAGTTCTCCTCGTAGTTCATCATAGGATAACTTATTTAGATCCTGAGATTCAAGTGTGACTACTTTGGTCTGCCAAGTGGTTGGTAGGCTTCTGAGAATTTTTCTGACTTGATCACCACTCCTAAATGGTTTGCCAAATGCTTTTAGATCGCTAATTATTTTGCTGAATCTGGCAAACATCTCTTCAATAGACTCTCATTCTTTCATTAAAAAGAGTTCGTAATCATGAACCAACATGTTGATATGTGTTTCTTTTACTTTGCTGGTTCCTTCGTATGTAACCTCAAGCTTGTCCCACATTTCTTTGGTTGTGTCACAGCTAGAGATTATCTCATACTCTTCGCCACTTATGGCATTATAAAGCAGGTTTCTCGCTTTATTGTTAACTTGTACCACTTCCATTTGCTCTTTTGTATATAAGTCTATATCTTCAGGATCAGCAAGTGGTGGAGTAGAAGCTGGTAGGGATAGTTCTCCTTTTTGATGACTCTCCAAACTTTAACATTGTATGCCTTGGCATAGATCTCCATACACACTTTCCAGTGAGAAAAATGTTGTCCATTGAAGTATGGTGGTCTAACTTGTGAAGTTACTTCCTGGAAGAGAGCTCCTATGATAACTTGATTTGCCATGATCTTTTCTCACAAGCTATTAAGCAAAAGAAAAATGTGAGCCTTGCTCTGATACCAATTGAAAGTACAAGAGGGGGGGTGAATTGTTTATTTTTAAACTTAATCCCTGTTAGTTGACTAGTTTTTCAATTAGTCGACTATATCCAATAAACAAACAGTCGTAATAATAGAATATAAGATGCTGAAATTAAATGCATGAATTAAAGAAACCATACTTNGGGGGGGGGGGAGTGAATTGTATATCTTTAAACTTAATCTCTGTTAGTTGATTGTTTTTTCAATTAGTCGACTAGATGCAATAAACTAACAGTTGTAATAACAGAATATAAGATGCTGAAAGTAAATGCGGGAATTAAAGACACCAGAATTTTTATACTAGTTCGGATTCAATGTGAATCCTAGTCCAGTCCCATTGGGTTGCAAGGGAATTCTCTTTAGTAAATGTGTTTCTTCGAGTACAATGGAAATGACGTGATAACTCAGTTCCTATAACACTCGTCTCTTTTGATACAATGCATCACCAGTGTTGTTCTCTCTTTCTTCTCTAACTTGTTACACAGCAGGTCTTAGAGGGCTAAAATATTTTTTTGTAGTAGAACAAAGAGAGGGTATTTGGTTCGATCAAAGTATGTTTGTCTAAGCCTTAACAATGTGTATAAATACTTTTAGGAGGCCGTTTGCTAAAGAGATTTGACAACCCAAGAGATTTGATCCTTGGAAAGAGATTGATTCTTTCCAAGAATAATGTTATTTGTCGTTGCTCTTCCTTGATGCGAGGGCATTGATAGCTTTCCTTTTACAGATCTTGATGAGCGAGTTTTACTCCTTGATTGTTGGTCCTTCCGAAATTAGCAGCTTGTCGTTGCTCTTCTTCATTAATAGCTTTCCTTCTACAGGCTTTGATAACGCGAGTTTTACTCCTTGATTATTGGTCTTTCTGATAGTAGCAGCTTGATTGTTTATCTAGCAAGATCTTCGATTGCTTCTTTTCCATTTAAATCAATCTCTGATTGATTCTAAATCTCCGGATGGTTAATTGATTTCTTTCTCTTGATTCCTTCAATCTTGGATGCTTCCTTGAGTTCCTGCACAGATATATTATTTGCATCATTAAAATCAGATCTAACATTCGGGTGGTTATAATTTCTTACTAACTCCATTAGAGTTATAATCAAAATTTATTTTCTTTGCTTGTATTTAAAATCAAATTATAGAATGTCAAGAATTTAAAAGAGAAAAATAAAGTAAAATACTTTAAATCCAGAATTTAATTATGAAGGAAGTTCATGAAACAATTGACAATCATTACGCTCAATCCCAAAGCTTCTACTCAATTGGTTATTGCAGAGAAAAGTAGAGAGAGAAGATTCTTATTGATTTGGGATCAATTACAATTGAATATGATCACTCTATTTATAGGAAAAGAGTGACTTAACTACCAAGTAAAATCCCTAAAATCTCTCTAAAATATAGACATTCACCATAAATAAAATACTATTTATAACACAAAGAACCTTTTGTATGATTAACCAAGTAAAATCCCTAAAATCTCTCTAAAATATAGACATTCACCATAAATAAAATACTATTTATAACACAAAGAACCTTTTGTATGATTAACCAAGTAAAATCCCTAAAATCTCTCTTAAATATAGACATTCACCATAAATAAAATACTATTTATAACACAAAGAACCTTTTTTATGATTGACCAACCAAACGACCCCTAATAGGCTAGATATCTGTACAGATTAATCCATCACGTCAACATATCATGGGTCTAGAGAAGTACTAGACTTTTACACTTTATTCAAACTCGGACAAAAAAAAAAAAGAGATGAAGTATAGTAGGATAGGGTCAGCACGAAACCGAGCCCAGTACGGCTTTACTCCTGCTCCGTCGCTTATTATAACCCTTCTCATGCTAATGGCGACTCGCTTTTCTCTATCTCGTTCAGCTCACTTTTGCTTAAAAACCCCTGCTTTCTCCCGTCCAACAACAAAAAACTTACTTCAGTGCCGTTCCTGTCCCCTTTGGTCCTCCTCTTTCGCACTCTGTCTTCACACTCTCCCCAAGTCAACACCCCCTTCTCCTCATCACCGTCGCAAAACCATCGCCGTCAGATCGTTTTGTCCGGCGCCGGGATCAATTTCCGATCATCCTACTAAAATGTCGACTACTACTTCCGATGACAATCCTCTGTTGAAGGACTTCTATTTCCCACCCTTCGATTCAATCGAGGCCAAGCACGTTCGTCCTGGAATTCGTGCTTTGCTCAAACAAGTCGTATGTTTCTTCTTTTCTTTTGTTTCTCTTTTGGCTCTTAGAGAAAGTGCGTGGGAATTAGTAATATGGCGCATTAAATTTGTGTTCTTTTTTTGTTTTTGTGAATTGCGTGTAGGATGAGGATTTAGAAGCTTTGGAGAAGACGGTGGAGCCCACCTGGCCGAAGCTGGTGGAGCCGTTGGAGAAGATAGTTGATAGATTGACGGTTGTTTGGGGTGCCGTGAATCATCTTAAGTCTGTTAAAGATAATCCTGATCTTCGTTCCGCTATTGAAGAAGTTCAGGTTCGTTATTTAAGGGCCTACTTCTTTTGGACTATGATCTTTAATTTCTTTTTGTGTCTATAGAGTGTAAAGATAGTGTCTTTTTCATTCAATCAGCTCAAGATGGTCTTTTTCCTTTTACATGTTAATTAAATTTATAGCTTTAGTCTTGTCTCTCTGTAGATTTACAGCTTGTTTGGATGGTTGTTATATATGTTTCATAATGTATTGTATTTCATTGTACTATTATATTGTATTATATTGTTTTGGTTTATACGCTTCTCGTCGTTTCATGATGCCACGTACTTAGCAATCTGAAGAATAAGCTACAATATTACAAAGAAAAAATAGGATACGTGATAAAATTATTATATAAAAAGGTAGGGTACAGGTAAAATATGATTGTTTAATACTTAATAAGTAAGGGCAAGGTGAGAAAAAGGTAAGACGCGACCACCAAATCAGTCATTACATATAATGATACATATGGCACTTTTCATCGTTACATAAACAATCAAAACAAACATAGCAACAATACCAAAATACAATAGGTAACAACCATCAAAACAAGCTGTTAAATTTTACTAATTTGTATTATAGCTTTTGCCTTGCACCTCTGGCTCCATAAAAAAAAAAGCAGAGAAGAGTTTTAATGCCTTAATTTAGACTGCAAGGAATACTAACCAGAATTGTTTGCTGAATAGATGATGATATCTTCAGTAGGACACCACACTTTCTCCATGATTTAACCAACTATAAATCTTTTTATGTACAAAGTTTGACGCTAGAAATTTGTCTCACTTCAGGATACACATGTTCCTTTTTACTTATTGCTTACGTATACTACTACTTTCCTCCTGTGCAGCGTTAATATTATTTTCTTTTCGTGTAGCCGGAAAAAGTTGCTTTTTCGCTTAAATTGGGTCAGAGCAAGCCAATCTATAATGCATTCAAAGCCATACGGGAGTCTCCTGATTGGGAGTCTTTGAGTGATGCTCGTAAACGAATAGTTGACTGTAAGTTCATGAAAATCTTTCCTTTCATTTGTTGAAATTCGGGAGGAGGTGTCTTTTAGCATGAAAATCAATTTACTTCCATTAGCTGTCTGTCTATGACTCTAAATTTTAGTTTTGATCTTCTTGTAATGTATCACGAGATCTGTCTGCCAATTTTTTGGTAGTTGTGCTGAACCTGCCAAGGTTATTGTTCATCTGGTGAAGTTGAGAACTGTACATTATTATCTTGTATGTACAATAATTTCTTCGAACGTCCATGACGAAGAAGAGTGTCACCATGGGTGAAGTTTCTGTTAATTGTGGTTTATATGTGTTAGAATTTGCTGTAGTTGTTCCTATTGGTCACAGGATTCCATTAAACATGAACTGTTCCCCGCGCACAAGAAAAAGAAAAAGAAGATTCACAACTCCCATCCCCAAAAAAGGGAAACCATATTTTTACTGTTTAAGAGTATCACCTAACCTCTTACCTTCTTTTGAGGTCATTTCCATGAGTGTATTTTTGTCAACCGCAAACTAATGTTTTAGATCGTCGTCTCACACTCTTCTTCCTGCTCGTGCAGCGCAAATAAAGGAGGCTGTACTAAGTGGTATCGCCCTTGAGGATGATAAAAGAGAGCAATTTAACAAGATTGAACAGGTATCTATCGTGTCTTATTGAGCCTAGCTTTCTCATTGTTCTATACCCCGGAAATGTCTCTTCTAAAATGTACTGTTAACAAGTGGAAAAATTTAATGGACTGGAATTGGACTAATCTTTCTACAGGTCATGGCTTTTAGATATATGTTCGAAGTTACTTATACAGCCCTCTGATTATGTTCTGGCTGTTTTTTCATTTTCTCTGGCTTCTTCTTTTTTGGGTGGTTGGGTTGGTACCTCGCCTGCCAAGGGAGAGGAGAAAAAGGTGCAAAACTCTTGGGTTTGACCTTATCTTCTTTTTCGGGTGGTTGGGTTGGTACCTCGCCTGCCAGGGGAGGGGAGAGCAATGTGCAAAACAGTCAGACCGTTGTTGTGCAGCTAAGACGGAATTTTCAATTCACTATCTTGTTTTTGACCTTATCTTCCTTCTGCAGGAATTAGCAAAGCTATCTCAGAAATTTGGGGAGAATGTTTTGGATGCCACCAAGAAGTTCGAAAAATTAATAACTGATAAGAAAGATATTGAGGGATTGCCTGCCACATCTCTTGGTTTGGCTGCACAGACAGCAGTGTCTACGGTAAGACAGAAGCTCTCTTCGTGTATATTTGACAATTGAATTATCATTAGTTACCTTTTCTCTTATGCGTTTTCTACTGCCCATAACCGATAACAGGGGCACGAAAAAGCTACTGCAGAAGATGGGCCATGGATAATCACATTGGATGCACCAAGTTATATGGCTGTCATGCAGCACGCAAAGAATAGAACTCTAAGAGAGGAGGTTTACCGTGCGTATATAAACCGTGCTTCTGATGGAGACCTTGATAACACTGGGATAATTGACCAAATTCTTAAGCTTAGGTTGGAAAAGGCTAAGCTCCTTGGATACAATAACTATGCCGAGGTATACATTTTTACTTTCGAACTCACAATACCATCTATGTTTTTTGTCCCCCAAAAAAGGCCATCTATGTTTTTTAAATTTCTTTCCTTTTTGAAGATTAAAATTGTTTATGTATATAGGTAAGCATGGCAATGAAAATGGCCACTGTTGATAAAGCTGAAGAGCTTTTAGAAAAGCTTCGCAGTGCTTCTTGGGATCCTGCAGTCAAAGGTAGGGCCTGCAAAATCATCTCAATGGTATTTGAGATGTAAAGTATACTCGGCCTTTGTTATCAGTTTTAATCTTTTTGTTCTTTAATATTTGGCTTTATCAGTTCCGAGCTTTCCTTTTTAGTCTTCAGTTGGTAGACATGAGGTAAAATAGACAAGTGTTGATAGGTGATAGATCTTTATAAACAGGTTGCTTCTTCTTTTCTTGTTTTACCTGTCTTGAAAACAAGATGATACCACCTAACCACCTTGTTTTTTGTGCTTTTGATATGAATCACTTTTCTTCTTTCTCTTCTTTCTTTTATGCAATCAAATTAACTGGTTGACCTCTCTTAGCTGGCAGTTTTTTGAGTTCACAAGCTTTTCCCCTGATCTTTGTAGATTTGGAAGACCTGAAAGAGTTTTGTAAAAGTCAAGGTGCTCCAGAAGCTG